CAGAGATCCGCCTGCCTCTGCCTCCTGAGTGCTGGGATTAAAGGCGTGTGCACCCGGCAACACTTTACTTACATTTAACCAAAAGAAACTGGGTGCACACCACACTCTGAAGCATTGCTTCCTGTAAATTTATACAGCTTTGTAATTTGTCCTACCACGGCCATTAAACACCACCTTACCCTGATAGATACGAACACTAGTCTACTACTAGAATAACTGTCTACTAAAAAACATTTAACTGAAAGATTACTTATGTTTATAATCAATAAGATAGTAGTAATTGTTGGTTCAAGGTAGATGTTGTGTGAACACTGCATGCCTGTTATTCCAGCACCCCTGTGAGGCAGGAAGAAAGGCTGTCATAAACTTAAAGCCAACCCGAGCTACACAGGAGTACCACACAGTCAAGGTTACATAGCAAGACCCTACCAAGTGCCTCTGACCATGGAGCGACACCCCCTCCACCTCTTCATTTCCCTTTTCTCGTGTAGTTAGTAATTTAGTATATTCATACAACTGTGCAGCTGTCACCACTATCTAATTCCCATGAAAAGCCCCGTTCTTCCCTGCAAACCAAAAACAGACAGACAAAAGAAACACACACACAAAACAAAAAAACAAACAACTCAATACTCAGAGACTGTGGGTTTCAAATATGAAGTACAAGGATTACCCAGAGACTTTAGCTCTTCATATTTGTAAGAGAATTTCCATGATGTTCATAGAGACGCTATGATTACCTCAACTCTCTGGCATTTTTTTAATTTTCCATTTGCAACTAATGTATGTAGCTATTTTCAACAATTCCACTTTCAAGTATGTATCCCAGAGAATGTAGTCAGTTCTGCCCACACAAAAATCTGCTCACAGATGTTCACAGAATCATTATTCATACAAGCCAGAGTAGATACAACCCAAATGCCTAGAACACCACTGAGGCGGTCAACAGAGTGGTATTCCACCCAAGTACATGACCTGCCACAAAAAGGGATAAAGTTACTGATAATGAGGCCAGAGTGGATCTTGCAAACAGTGCTACGCTAAGTGAATGAAGTTACATGAAAGAGCCGGATGCTAATTGACTCTGTTTGTATGACACACTTAGGACTGAAACATACTTCACGAAAAGCAGATTAGTCAGTCCTGCAGGATCTGAGGATCTGAAAGGGAAGAACAGGAGTGATGGCCTTTTCATGGGAATTAGATAGTGGTGACGGCCGTACAGTTGCATGAATATAATAAATCACTAACTACACGAGGAAAGGGACGCAAAGGCAGAGGCTCTTGGTGTGCAGGAGCTCTGCATTCAGTCACTGGCACCAAAAGCAGAGGGGCGCTTAGCATGGATTTTATCTTATGAGAATTCTATTTCAATAAAGCCACAAGGTCTCAAGGTATATGCTTATTATAACTTGTATCAAATTTCTAAATCACTTTACACTCTACTAAAAAGTTATAGTGCCCATACAACATACCATATGTTTATGTATGAATATGCATTATTCTGAAAATTGATTTACAAAAAAAACCTACTTCATAACATCACTTTTGATAGATAGAAGACAGAAGACAGAATAATTTTAAATGTAAATATATTTAAAAAATTAAAACACCAGGAAACACAATCTATATACATGAAAAAGTAGAATATTTATATGCACAACAGCTAGTAGCAACACGCCCATGAGCAGCAGTAGTGTCTATTCTGTCCATATTTGGTTTGAAATCATAGTGGTAGCTCAGTGTCCTTGGGGAAATGATGTAAGGTGCACACAGCATATTATGAGGATGGAAGATTGTAAATGGGAAGTTAATGCCAAGTAACAGCATTTCCTCTAAAAACAAATGCTATTAAACAAATTATCTTAAACATTTCCTCTAAAAACAAATGTTATTAAACAAATTATCTTAAACATTTCCTCTAAAAACAAATGTTATTAAACAAATTATCTTAAACTAATGAACAAGAAAATGAGCTTATTGTATTCAGTTCAAGATATATAGTCAAACTTGCATGAAAGTACAGGAGCCCATTTAAAATGGACTATGGTAAAATATCATTAACATGGGCGATTGGGATTCTCACAGGAGATAAACTGTCATTCGTCATCTTTTTTCAAGAGGGCTGCTTTAAGAACATCACAACCACGCTCTTGAGAAATGCAAGTGCATACTTGAGAAGTCACAATGGTGAAATATATGTATATATGAAATATATGTTCTTTTCCTGGTACCGGCCCAAAAGAGCATTTCTGAAGGTGACCTAGATGACATGTCCATGTGATTTTGACTTTTATTCTCCTCTGAATATTACATGTACAGGTAAGAGTTTTAATTTCTACTGAGAGCGTCTAACACATTAATCACTTAAAGACACACAATAAAGTACTTGGGTACCCTAGCACTTTACTAGAAGTACATCTACTGACCACAAAGCCAACTGTCACTAAGAAATGAAATGCTAAAAGTTTCTGGTTTGGGAGAAATAAACTACAATACAGTGAGTGGTTTCTCTTCTCCATCGCTACTGTAAAAAAAGAAAAACAAATCCACTTTGCCCATCTGAGCCGTCTCTAGCCATGCAATTTAATGAACCCTCAGCAGTTTACACATCTCTATACAGAATTCACATCCGTCCACTGCCGTGCCAGTCCTCTTATATTTTCAGTGTCTTATCAAAATATGAGTAGCAGGGTTCTTCTCATCCTACGAGGCAGGGAGGTGCTTCCTAAGGATCTCTTTGGAGGAGGAGGATATGGCATCAGGGAAAGACACTTCAAACTCTACCAGCAGGTCACCGCGTTGGTCAGGGTTCTTTGGAAACGGCAGCCCATATCCAATAATTCTCCTCCTCATCCCAGGTTTCACAATATCACTGATTGACATAGGTATATTTCTTCCATCCATCGTTGGCACATTAATTGAGCAGCCACACAATGCCTAAAGTGGACCACATAAAATGAAGTTAAAAAAAAAAAAATAAACAAAAACTCCCAAACTCGAAAATATAAAATATGCTGGGTGGGTTAACACTCTGGAGGTGATGTTTTTAACTTCCAAAAGGATTACAATAGTTACACAATCTTTTTCCTGTTCTAGAAAATCTGTTCAAGAGGAGCATAACCACATGTTACCAGAGAGAGAGAGAGAGAGAGAGAGAGAGAGGAAGGAGAAAGAGAGAGGAAGGAGAAAGAGACAGAAAGAGAGAGGAAGGAGAAGAAAGAAGAGAGAAGCAAAAGGTGTCTTTCACAGTACCCAAGGAAGTGAACAGTTTGAAGCTGTCAATATTCAAGGGGCAGGGATCCGAATGGGAGAAAAGGAAGAACTTAGAACTGAGCAAAACAGGAGCAGCTGTCTTGGAGAGTCCACTGGATGCCGTACAGTCCCTGCTGAGTTACTGCAGGACCATGAGCAAGACTTTCCTCCAGAAATGCACATGGGACTCAGAGACCTGTGCATGAATCAGTGACTGACAGAAAGGGCACACAGACCAGCTCCTTACTGACTGGGACTACCCAGTGCCTAAACTAAACACGGCTGCTAGCGGCAGGCACTGGGACAAAAGGAAGGCTGAGTGATCAGAGTGTAGCTCTAACACACAGAGAAACTGGACAAAGTGACAACATCAAATTCAGGGAAAGGAAAACATATTTGGGGGTGGAAGCCAGATTCCTACCTTTTAAGCTAGCTTGAAATACATGGTAGGAATATATGGAGGTCTTCAAGATTTAGACAGGGACAGGACCCCATGTCATGGGATACAACTGACCTTGAGAAGTGGTGCAAATAAGGACTCAAGGTCTGTAATAAAGTGGTAGTATTATACATTATGTTATATGCTTGTCATATTTTAATGCTTGTTATATAAATCTTCTCCAAACTAATCATTTCAGAACTGCATAAACCAGTGGTTTTCAGCCTGTGGGCGGAGACCCCGTATGGGGGTGGTCAGAAGGCCTTTTCACTGATAATTACATTATGATTCATAACAGTTTCAAAATTACAGTTGTAAAGTAGAAACAAACATAATTTTATGCTTGGGAGTGACCACAACATGAGGAACTGTATTAAAGGCTGCAACAACCTATTTGGATCAAAGAGGTGGGATTTCTAATGCAGATCTCACAGACCCACAGCCTAAAACCAGCTAACCCAACACTGGGCCATCAAGTAGCTAATCAAGTTTGCTCTTAAAACTGACGTTTACATTATTATTAACATCAGTGACTAAATTTAGCAGCTATGATGTCATCCATAAGATGCAATAGTAGCACGTGTAGAGAACTGTTACAAGGAATAAAACAGGCAGAGTTGGGGAAGAGCCAGCTCCTGCACAGAGAGCTCCCACGAGCAGTCAGCAGCACATGTCTCTTTAGTCTTAGCAACTTACCTCCCGCAAACTGATCTTAGCGGTGTAAACTATATTTGATCCGTCTCTTTTAAATTTGGGGTGTTCTTTGTCTTTAATAATAAAAACAATGTCTGCTGGAATACTATTTGGTGTTTCATCACCTTCCCTTGGAAAAGTGATTTTGGTGCCTTCTTTCCACCCTTTTTTAATATCGATGGTGAGAATTTTGTCCTCAGATCTGTAACTCCTTCCATCAGGGTTTAATCTTTTACGAGAAATCTTCATGCGTTTGGTACAGCCACTAAATATTTCTTCAAGTGATACTCTAAGTTCATGGATAACAGGAGGGTCTTGTTTGAGACGGGAGGGTCCCACAGAATTCCTGTCTCTGGGATATCCGTTCATGCTGAATCCAAAGGCACTAAAGGGGTCACCATCTATTTCCATTTCTTCATTGTCTCGACCTCCACCCATCCGTCTTCCAAAGAAAATTTCAAAGGGGTTGGAACCTCCAAAAAAGGCTGCAAACGTGGCATGAGGGTCTCCGTGAAAGGTGTACCTGAAGGTACCGCCTTGTCCATCAGTACCTCCCGCTCCTCCTTTCAGCCCTGGGGGGAGGGGAGAGAAAGGGATTAGGAAGGGCTGCACCCCAGACAGTTAACCATTTGCTAGTTGTATTGCTAATAACCTTTGACTTATCACCTATGGTCAGAAGCAGTATTATAATTAAACAGAACAGTCACACAGCTTCAGAAGAGCCACCCTAAGTCAGAGGGTTAGCTTTCAAATCGATCCTCCAAATTTTTAGCTTTAGGGGTTTCTTCCAGAATCTTTGTTTCATAATAAATATGGAAAATAAAAGGAAACTGAGGATCCTTTACATCAAAAGCTACTGTCCTAGAATACTGAAATATTACAAAGAGTTTTAAAGATGAAATAAAGTTAATAATTAACAAAGAATCTAAATCCTTAAGTGCCATGATAACTAATTAATGTAATCAATAAGTAACAGCGTATTCATACTAAGTAGCTTTACTTCATTTCTTTTGCTGTTTTTTAAGGTTTTATTATTTTAATTATGTGGAGACGTGTGTGTGTGTGTGTGTGTGTGTGTGTGTGTGTGTGTATGTGTATGTGTATGTGTATGTGTGTGTGTGTGCTGTGTGTGTGAGTGTGTATGTGAGTGTGTGTGTGGTGTGTGTGTGTGTGGTGTGTGTGTGTGTCTGTGTGTGTGTGTGTGGTGTGTGTGTGTGTCTCTGTGTGTGTGTGTGTGGTGTGAGTGTGTGTGAGTGTGGTGTGTGTGTGTGTCTGTGTGTGTGAGTGTGTGTGTCTCTCTCTGTGTGTGTGTGTGTGTGAGTGTGTGTGAGTGTGTGAGTGTGTGTGAGTGAGTGTGAGTGTGTGAGTGTGTGTGAGTGTGTGAGTGTGTGTG